ATTTCTTACATTGCTTTGACTCATTTATCAAATTTATCTTGGCATTTCCCCTTTCGGGAGGTGCCAAAACACTCCGCTTCTTTGATGCCTGTAAACAATTATGTAATATTTGTGAAATTTGTGAATAAATTCAAGGCAAATGTAACTCAACCTATATGCCCCGCCCCTTGGATTGTTGCTAAGAACCATATTTCACTGCTGATTTTTAAGAATAAATATACAAAACAACATATTTAACACTTTAAAGTAAGAATTACAATAATAGTAGGCCATAATATGTGTAAATGTGATATGAATGATAACATCAATAGGCCTAAATATTATATTTTAATCGAAGATAGTTTAGTAAACATATTATGTTTACTAAACTATAAATACATAGGCCTAAATAAATAAATAATTTTATTATTGGTTTTTATTTAAACTGTACACAGCATTTACCAATGTGAGGTTCAAGTACTTGTGTCGTAAAGGCTGATAAAGAACAGTAACACAACATGCATAGAACTACAGGATCTCTAGGAAGTTACCTACGACTTTTTTGTTGCGTAGTGTGCCTTGCGTTTATGCATGCTTTTGTTGGCGTCATCTTCCAACGCACTCCCAATGATGTAACATCATTGCTAATGGTACAAAACGTGGTTACCAATCAGTTTGTTGATGAAACTCGTTCAATTTACAGAAGTTCGAATGCACAAATCCTAGATCACGAGAGAGTGAAACAACATGTAAAAACATTTAGTTTGCATGCTTTTCTACGAAATTTAAGTTACATTGCACCTTTGGTTAACTGTGATGGACGTAAACATAAAGTAGTAGCGTTAATAAATTCCGCCCGTGCTAACATAGAACGTCGGAGAGCTATCCGTGAAAGTTGGGCAAATCAGTATGTACTTTCTGATCATCGGGTGTGTTTGGTGTTTGCCATTGGAATTCATATACCTGCCGATCCACTACTGACAGTGAACATCGAACGAGAAAAGGCCTCAGAACGCGATATATTAGAAGGAAATTTTGTGGATCATACTCACAATAACACATTAAAATCTTTAACAGGTTTTACGTGGGTATCGTCTTCTTGCAGTGATGTGCCTTACACTCTACTTGCAGACGATAATATGTTTATTAATTTTGAGGTGTTAATGAACACAGTTTTATTTAATTTAGTATACTATCCAAAGAGTTTCTGGATGGGTCATTTGGAGCTAAAGAGAAAAGTGACGAGAAGACAAGATTCCATTAACTACATTTCATATAATACATACTCAGAGGCCGCACTTCCTCCATTGTGCTCGAAAGAGGCTGGTTTTCTTCTTTCTTCTCAAGCCATATTGCAGGTGCTCGAAACTGCCGCCAACGCTTCCCTAATTCCACGCATTGATCACTTCTTAGCAGTAACTCTACACAAATATAATTTTGGACGAATGAAAATAATAAATAACAAGGTTTTCTCAACGAGTATAGCTGATGTCTGCGCCTTGAGAAATCTAGCAACAACCCCAGGAATGTTCTCCGTAAGTAGCCATGGAATACATTGGAAAAATTTATCCAGTATTTCGTTTCTGAAAACGTGTGACGACCCAGATCTCGATTTAGTGCTACATAGTAAAGTTTCAAACGACGAGTATTTTGGAAAGACTTTAAAGTTCATCCATTCAAATGAAGATGCATGCGCAGACATTGACAACGATTCTGAAGAGTCATTTTTGGTAGCACTTATTAGCACGTTACCATGGAATCATCAACGACGCAATGCAATTAGACGCACCTGGGGTGCGAGTCGAAAGATAGACAATGTTAATATAAGGGTTTTATTTGTAACCGGTGTTACACAGAAGGACAATCAATTGTATAATACAATCCTAGCTGTCTCTTATACACATCTTGTCGTAAAGGCTGATAAAGAACAGTAACACAACATGCATAGAACTACAGGATCCGTAGGCCGACGTCCAAATATTTCATACCAGTAAACATATATTCTGGAAAGTACTTCCCGCCGTATTGCAGCGGTGGTGGGTATATTATCTCCACGGACGTTATCCCTGCCATGTATAGAGCTGCCCTAAAAACACCATTATTACCGATCGATGACGCGTTTCAAGGAATAGTGGCCAAGAAAACCGGTGTGAGCCCAACCATGATTGACCAGTTCAAAAACTATGGCGGCCCAAGTGACCACTGCGCCTTAAGTTCGTCTATGACGGTCCATGGGTTTAAAACTGCAGACCAGCTGATGAAAGTGTGGAGTAACTATACAGATACAACAACATTGTCATGTCCCGAGGATTATTAACATTATCACATGTTCAATTATAATATATCTTAAAATATTAATCTACTGAATAATAATCGACCCTCGCTGCTGTCGTAAAAGCGACCCACGTGACGTACCGGTAGATTTTCGTTCGAAAGCGTCGTAAAAATTTATAGCGTTAATATATTGAGTAAACGTCAAGGCGCATAATTCATATAGGCCTAAACCTTAACATTCAAATTACTATAGGCCTATTTAAAATACAAATTAGGAAAATTTATTTAGTCTGCAATACCAACTTTCTTTGTGCAGATGGACAACACGAAGCAGCTTCATTTATTTTGTAGATGATGTTCTTGGTCAAATGCCTGATGGGTTATTGTCAATCTACTGCACGGTATGCCTATTTTTGTAAAATATTAAACTTTATAATGACAATCGTTTCGTGTCCGCTTTTATAATCATTCTGCTACTTTTTATCTCATCTACTATATAACTATCCTTGCAATGTATTGAGATTTACATGATCATATTTGATATTTTGGTCATCTGTTATGGGCTCCAGTCTATTTATTCACTGTCAATATTTCAATTTCTTCAGATTCTTTAACAATATGAAGTAAAATATAACACTGGGGATGCCTGATTGGGTGACTCCCTACACAGTTTAAAGCCATCAAAAGGGTAACAGCACAGTTTTAACCTAAGCATTGGTTACAATTGCTGGACACACACACGTTAAGCGACTCCTGCAGATTGAATTTTGAATTTTTTTAATTCTTTAGTGAATGTTCCAATAGCATAATTCTGTTGACAGTAGAGCATACTCGCGTCCTGAAAAAATAAAATTCTTACTATATTTTTATATAGGCATAATAATAGGCCTACCTATTTTTTTTTTTTTTTTTTTTTTTTTTTTTTTTAAAATTTTTTATTTTTTTTTTTTTTTTTTATTGTTTCAACTTTTTAATTACTAGAAACAAGTTATAATGTTCTGAAAATATTTTGTTCCTTTTACCATGTTTAACTTATTTCTGTTTACTTTATTTATATTTGCTTCGTATTCTTTTAAAGTTAATATATAACGTTTTATGAACCAAATTGGGTGTGTGAAACTCTGAGGCTTGTGTTAACAATTTTCATTGATTCTGCCAGGATGCACTCATTTAGTCCTATTGCGATTATTATCAATCTCCTTCATCCTTAATGTTACTTTTAAGCCGGTATGCACAGTACTGCTCCCGATAGTAGTAGGGAGCTGTCGATTGCACGACGACGGTAGAACGTAGAACGTCAATAAGTCACTAAAAGTCATCTGCGCATGCGAGAACGTTAAGGTCACCTCGTAGAGCAGATTCTGGAACGCAATTTGGCCAAACCTACGTATCAAAGATCTTACAAACACAAGATAGCGTTCTCCGCGATTTACGCGTGCAAATTCTGTAATAAGGCATGAATGGCGCCCTCTTGCTAAATTGGAAACTTTTGACCCTTGACCGCTCTGATCTGACCATACAGTACACCGCCTGTGAACAGCAGAACAGGAACCATCTCAGATCCATGGCAACAGATAGGACGCCCTCTTCCAAAACTTATTACTTTTTCTCTTCGGTAATAGCCAGAGCCATATATATAGAGTTGCGACATTCCGCTCCTTGGTTTACGAAAGTCACGTGGTACACACCGTCCATTTTGTTTCATAATCTTCCCGATGAACACATGCAAAGTATATGTGTTACGTACATTACATATTAATTTCACACACTTAATTGGGTTTACAATTATATTTTATAATTAACATCACTTAGTATGGACAGCGTATAAGAATTCATATATAATCGAATATTTGCGTGCTCGCGTAAATTCCGTGCTCGCGTAAAGGATTGAAATTAAAAATAGAAATGTTTTCAAT